GCGACGCGGCAAAAGCGCTGCGTTCATGAATCAAAAATGTTGCTGCCCTAGAAAATACTCTACGCGATCGCATAAAAGACCAAGCGATCGCGAAGGTCTGCTGCTCCCACAACATCACAGACGCATCTGATCAACCGAGAACCCGATGAACAAACAACAACTACTCTCTCCCTCTATGTGAACACGACCAAAGACACCCGAACGTGTAAACCAGTCTGCTCAAAGCAACGCGGAGGTGAACCACCTCAAAACATGCCCCAGCCCCTCGGGACCCCATCGAATCATGCCAACAAATCCAAATACAATATTCAAACTTATCCAAAGGTTTGAAACACCGCAAATAACATCAAAACCACGAATCGAAGATCAATATCATTCTCTTAACTTTCAGATATTCCAACTTCGCCAAACTCATCCGTGTCACACTTAGACATTTCAGATCACATCCAATTTTGCGCACAAGTTCCAATCAACTAAATAAACCTATACAAGGTCTCAAAACCACAATACGTATATTTTAACTTTTCAAATGGCCAACTTTTGATAAATAGAGCTAAAACCTTCTAGGAACATCCAAATTTAAATTCAAACATATGCCCAAGTCCAAAATTACCATACGAAAACCATCTAATCCCGATTTCGAGGTCGTTTATCTAAAATTTAAGCCTTGGTAAACTCTTCCAACTTAAGGCTTCCAAATTGAGAATCACTCTTCCAAATCAATCCCTAACCTCTGGAACATCCAAACCAACCATATATGCAAGACATAATACATCATACAACTACTCAAGATCTCAAACCGCCGAACGAAATGTTAAAGCTCAAAATAACCGGTTGTGTTATTACAAAATATCTAATATGTTCTTTTTCAAGCAACACATAATAAATAGGCACAGTCAATCGAGGATCATTCAATCAACTAAATTAATCATATAATTGAACAAGTATGAAGTTTGATTATAGTAAAAAGTAACAAGATATTCATTCTTCAAAATGTACCATCAAAATTCTAAATAATAGGATTAGCTACTCATGATAGTTTGCATGACTACAATATTAGAATTAAAAAAATAACAATAACAAACCTAGTTTAATCTCACGAGCTGGGTCTAAGGAGAGTAGTGTAAGGCCCCAAAAAATATTTCACCCAAAACCTAGGGTTTCGTGATGCTGAGGTAGGGCAGCGCGGAACCGATCTGCGGACCGCAGATCTGCCGCAGACTGAAGTAGAAATCTGGGCAAATTTTCGGACCATTATGCGGTCTAGTATGCGGCCGCATAATCATTTCACGAGCTGCATAACCCATCACAGATCCAGCATGAAAATTTCTGGAGGGAAGTTCTACGGCACATTATGCGACCGCAGAATTGGTCTGCGGACCGCAGACTGGTCGTAGAGTGAGGCAGAAGTGCCCAATTCTGGAGGTACATTATACAATCCATTTTGCAGACCACAGAAGCGTTATGCGGCCGCATATACGACCGCAGATCTGTGTCGGGGCTTTATTTTTCTAATTTTTTTACCCGACCCTATTTTGATTAAAAGCCCTTGGGGCTCGTTTTGAAGGCAAAAACCTGTCATTTTAGAGAGAAGATGGGAGTGTTCTATAGAGAGAGAAGTAATCCCAAGTGCTTTGTTCATCAACATCTTGTCCAAGCTTTGATATTCAACAAGAAATCTCACAAGATTTTCATCCAAGAGGTAAGGTTCTAACCCCAGTCTTCAATTTTGAATTTAGGTAGAAGATGGGTAATTGGGAGTATAATTCTTGAGTATGAGAGTTGTTATTTATGCATGCATGTAGCTATGAGGATGGTGGGGAGGTAATTGAACTAGTATGAGTAAACTCTTGGTATTGAATTGGTTGTGGAGTGAAGGAAATCTTGTGGGAGAACCTTGTAATCAAATTCGCACACCTAGTATTTGATAAAATGCTCAAATGAGATAAAACCATGAATATATTCCTAATTTGTGTTCAATTTTGCTATGTCTCTAAATAGATCAAAGTTGCTAGGATTTTCGAAACTGTGTAGTGAATTAAGGAAAGCTCAAAGCGAGGTATGAGTGCTAAACTATTTTTCTGGTATTGGAATTCTCGTGTTCTTACAAAAATCCATCGTGTGATGTTCGAATATGGAACGCTATTGATGTGGGGTATTCAAACTAGTAGAATTGATTTTTGATTGGCATAACGTGTCAGAACCCTCGTGTGTTAACGATTCTCTATTTTTGGCTTAATTATGTTATACCCCCTTAGGGAAGAAGATCTTATATGAAATCAATGTGATTAAACAATTATTTCTCATATAATGAAACCTTATGAACCTACTCTTGCTAAGGCCAAAGGTGCCAAATGGTTGATTTGAAAAAGGAACTCTTTTGTACCAACTATTATCATTTTGGGAATTCGAAGTATGGCATTGTGAATACACATCCACCCGCATACATTGGGGTGAGGCGACATGGCCGCTTTGTGTAAAGTTGTGGTCTTATGAATATACCTCCACCCACATACATTGGGGTAAGGTGGCAGAGCCGCTTTGTGTAGAGTTTGTGGTATTGTGAATACACCTCCACCCGCATACATTGGGGTGAGGCGGCAGGGCCGCTTTGTGTAGAGTTTCTGGTATTGTGATTGTACCTCCACCTGCATACATTAGGGTGAGGCGACAGGGCTGCTTTGTATAAAGGTAGTTGTAGAGGATCCCCGACTTAAGAATTTATAAATATTATTGAAAGCTCTTAATACATTTTTATGGCTTTAATGGATAACTAAGCCTTTTATTGCTACCATGATTCATCATATTCATGTTGTATTTCCAAGTCCTTGCATAAGTGTTTGGTTTTCATACTAGTGCTATTCGACATGTACTAACATCCATATTTCCGGGGGCGCTGTATCTTTAATGGATGCAGGTAGTTCCATAGCGGAGGGCATTGACTAGTGATAGCGGTACACTCTCTTCCTGGTTGGCTTGGTGAGCCCCACTTCATTTCGGGGTTATGCATCTTTTGTTGTATGTGCATTATGTTTTGAGGTATAGCCAGAGCCTTGTTATTGGCACTATCATTGTACTCTTTTGTATCTATTAGAGGCCCCCTAGACAGGGTGTGGGTTGTGTATTGGTATTGGGAAGGTCAAGATAGTAATGTCGTATGTGTATTACATATTCCAATTCAACTATGAAAGTGTATGTATTTTGAGACTTTATAAATGAAGTAACTAATGGTGATGGAATTAGTGTTGTTCATGAACCCTCTTGGTATTAATTAATGAAGTTTACCTTCTCTTTATTTATAGGTGAATTGGGTAGAAGGAAATCTAGCAGGCTTGCTCGGTCGGGTTATCTCGGTTGAGCGTCGGTCGCTCTCCCCGAGGTTGGGGCATGACAGGTAGTGTGTACGCATACCTTACCCCCACCTTGAAGGTAGAGAGGTTGTCTCCAAAATAGACCCACAACTCATGAAATACGAAAAGAAAAGTAGTAGCACCAAGCAGTAACAAAAACAAGATAGTAAGAAAATAAAGTGAAAGGAACAACAAGTAATGCTAAGAATAAAATCTAACAATAATAAAATACAAGACTAACACTAACACTCTCGACTACCTACTAGTTGTTTATCTTGATTTTTAACCTCCACACCTTTCTATCAAGGGTCATGTCCTCGGTAAGATGAAGTAACGTCATATCCTGTCTAATTACCTCTCCCCAATACTCCTTTGGCATACCTCTACCTCCTATCAGCTCATCCAACGCCAACCTCTCATACCTCCTTACTGGGGCATCTGTGTTTCTCCTCTTCACATGCCTAAATCATCTAAGCCTAGCTTCCCGCATCTTGTCCTCCATCGGGGACACTCCCACTCTGGCCCGAATATCTCCATTCCTAATCTTATCCATCCTGGTATGCCCACAAATCCATCTCAACACCCCCATCTCTGATGCTTTCATTTTTTGGACATGCGAGTTCTTGATTGGCCTACACTCAGCCCTATACAATATAGTCTGTCTCACCACCACTCTATAAAACTTGCATGTAAGTTTAGGTGGCACATTATTATTATATAAAATATTGGATGCTAGCCTCCACTTCACCCACCTCACTCAAATATGTTGTATAACATCTTTGTCAATCTCCCCATTTCCTTGGATAATAGACCTGATGTACTTGAAACTATCTTTCTTAGGGATAACTTATGTATCAAGCCTCACATCTACGTTGTCTTGTCACTAAACTTGTACTCCAAGTATTTTGTCTTGGTCCTACTCAGCTTGAACTCTTTAGACTCTGGGGTCTATCTCCAAACCTCCAGTCTGGCATTAACATTGCCTCGTGTCTCGTCAATCAGAACAATATCATCTGGAAATAACATACACTATGGCATCTCCCCTTGAATGTGGCGTGTCAGTGTGTCCACCGCCAAGGCAAATAAAAATGGCTAAGAGCTGACCCTTGGTGCAACCCCATCACAACTGGAAAATTATCCGAGCCCCTCCTTCCACCCACCCCACCCCATCCCTTGTCCTCACCCGGGTCTTAGCTCCAGTATATATGTCCTTAATTACCCTAGTGTAAGCAACAGGAACACCTCTAGCCTCTAAACATCTCCATAGAACCTCCTTTGGGACTTTGTCATATGTCTTCGCTTAATCAAAGAACACCATATGCATGTCCCTCTTCCTATCCTTATACAGCTTCACCAACCTCCTTACTAGGTGAATGGCTTCCGTAGTCGAATGCCTCGGCATGAATCTGAACTCATTTTTGAAAATAGATACACTCCACCTCACCCTCGCTTCCACTAGCCTCTCCCAAACTTTCATAGTGTGACTACCAGCTTGATACCCCTATAGTTGTTGCAATTTCGGATGTCATCCATGTTCTTGTACAACAGAATCATCATACTATACCTCCATTCTTCAAGCAACTTCTTCGTCCTAAAAACTATGTTAAACAACCTAGTGAGCCATTCCAAGCCTACCCTGCATGCGCTCTTTCAAAATTCTACAGGAATTTTATTTGGCCTGATCGCTCTTTCCCTACTCATCTTATGCATAGCCCCCTTGACTTCCTCAATTTTAATACACCTACAATAACCAAAACCACAATGACTTTCAGAGTGCTCCAAATCACCTAACACTATATCCCTCTCCCCCTTTTTGTTTAGGAGTTTATCGAAGTATGCTTGCCATCTACGTCTAATATATGGCTCTTCCATCGATACTCTGTCTTCCTCGTCTTTGATGCACTTCACTTGGTCCAGGTCACGGGGCTTCCTTTCTCTCACCTTGGCTAGCTTGTAAGACTTCTTATCCCCACCTTTGTATCTAAGTTCTTCATACAAACATCTAAATATTGCAGTCTTAGCTACCATAATCGCTAGCTTCGCCTCCTTCTTAGTCCTCTTGTACCACTCTCTATTCGTCCTTTTCTCCTCCTCGCCATTGCTCTCCACCAGCTTCCAATACACTACTTTCTTGCCTTCTACCTTTTCTTGGACCTCTCCATTATACAACAAATCCCCCTTGTGGCGACCAAAGTAACCCTTCGAGACCCCTAGTACCTCTCTAGCAGCTTCCCTAATGCAGTTCGCAATCGTGGTCCATATACCACTCGCGTTCCCCCTACTCTCAATGCCACATAGCCTCCAACTTCTCCCCTAACTCCCACGCTTTGTACCATTATCACACTTCCTAATGAGTAGGTAGTCAATCTGGGTCTTAGCTGCCGCACTCCGAAAGGTAACCACGTGTTCCTTCTTCTTTGGAAAAATTGAGTTAGCTATCACCAAATAAAAAGCTTTAGCAAAATCCAACAGTGAAGCTCCAACTCTATTTCTATCCCCAAAACCAAAGCCTCCATGCACATTATCATAACCCCCGAAAGTCATCCGGATGTGTCCATTAAATTCCCCTCCGATGAAAAGCTTCTCGGTTAGTGGAATGCGAGCACAACCTCATCCAGTTTATCCCAAAAGCGCCTTTTGACCTCCTCATCCAAGCACTAATTACATTTAAAGTCAACCCTCTCACAACTAACTTAATAGCCATCAGCCTGTCGTTCACCCTTCTAACCTCTACTACTAGCTCCCTGAGTTCCCTATCCGCCAAAATACCTATCCCATTCTTACTCCTCCCGCTTCTAGTTCCTGAGTACCACAGTTTGTACCCGTCTATATCTCGTGCCTTGACACTACCCATCTAGTCTCCTGGACACAAGCTAAACTAATCCTCCTCTTCTAAAGGATTTTTGCTAGCTCTATTGACTTCCCTGTCAAAGTCCTTCCATTCCAAGACCCAACTCTCAGCCTTGAGGCTTCCTTCCTACCCTAGCTCCCCGCCCTCCGCTCCACCCGAGGACACGACCTTATTCAACCTTCGCTTAACCCAACCACTATAGTCTAAGGGAATACAAATCTAGCACTACCACTAGTATCAGCTAACAGTTAAACTAAAAATATACTACTTACAAGAGTCAATACTAAGTGACAAGCAAACAAATATGATCAAGCAAAACAAATTACGATAAAATAAGAAAAGGTAGAACCCGGGTTGTATGCGGTACACCAAGGCAACTGGAGAGAAAATTTGAGGTATATATAATCTGTCCGGAAGTTGCTGGAATCAATGGAGTTCACCGAGAATCTGTCCACACATCAAAAAATCAGTGAACCTCTCCGGAAAATCACTACAGCGGCAAACTTGTCCAACGAAACAAATGCACACACAGACACACACACAAAGAGAGAGAGAGAGAGAGAGAGAGAGAGAGAGAGAGAGAGAGAGAGAGAGAGA